TTGGAGGATAGATAACTAATTAAGAGCTTACAACATTTCTGCACTGTACAACACAAGTTAAGACTCGCAGATTTACTGTTATTCCTGCAGATCATAGTACAAAGACTACAATGGTAGACAAAAATGGTTGAGGGTCTCTGTGCAGAAAAATGGTTAGGGTTTTCCCTAACAACCATTAATGTTATATCACTCTTGTCCAAGGGGCGGCTCAGATTATGAAGAATTATGTTCAGTGATATCTTACTGCTTTAGATATCGGTGGGAGCCTCTGGGGTCTATTCACGAAGCTGCCGAAGGATCTGGCCGTAGCTTCGGCCGATCCTTCGGCTAGCTTTGGCCCCAGGACCCCTTTGGTTCAATTTTTTATATTCTGACATCAATCGTGTCAGAATAAAGAAGAAAAGACACAGCAGTGTTTCTCTCCTTGGCAGCCGGGAGCGGGAGACTCCCAGAGCGCCCAGGAGAGGTTTTTTTTTCTTTTTTTCTTTACAGCAGCAGAGCCGCCGGACAATAGGAAACTATTGGGCGGAGCTAGCTGTCACTGCTAGCTCCGCACAATCGTTTTCTATTGACCTTTTTCTACTTTTTTCACTCTTTTTCTGTTCTGCTCGGTGCCTCTGAGGGACCGAGCAGAACAGCCGAGCCGAATGCCGCTCGGCGGCATTCGGCTATTCACTCACTGCTGTTCGGCATTTTTAAGAATAGCCCGAACAGCAGTGAGAAGCCTGCCGGAGGTTCGGCTCAGCCGATCCAGATGTTGGATCTGCTGAGTCGAACTCCTTCTGCACTTCGTGTCGGCCGAACATGCTGAGCATGTTCGGCCGACCCGAAGCCACGATGTACGGATGTACTCGATGTACGGCTGAAATCAGCCGTACCAGCCTGAAGTGAATAGCCGAACAGTGTTCGGCTCACTTCACTTCAGATCGGTCATTCACTCGGCTGCCCTCGGCAGCTTGGTGAATAGACCCCTCTGTGTTGGCATCTTCCCAGGAAGCATGTACTGTATGTCTGCTTACCAGTGTCATGCAATGGTGTAACATTTTCTTGCCTTTGCACAGAGGCTTTAGAGCAGGGGTCTCAAACTCAATTTAGTCGGCGGTCACTGGAAACATTTTTTAGTCCAGTGGGGGCCGCTACTATATACGGTACCAGTTTTAATGTATGCACATGTTACAAGCGGCAACTGTCACCGATTCAAATTAATGATCGGGTGACAGCTGCTGCATGTAAACGCCTGCACACCGCATGTAATCATATGTGAAAGGATTACATGCAGTTAGGAATCAATCACTATCCCTGGATACACGATTGTTTATCCAGGGATAGTGATTGTTTTTGTAACTGCATGTAATTATATCAAATACAATTGCATGTGGTATGCAGGCGTGTACACGCAGCGGCTGTCACCTGATCATTAACTTGAATGGGTGACAGCTGCTGCATGTAAACACCAGATTACGGATTCCTGCTGCAGGAAAACGCAAGTTTGTGACACAGGAATCCCTAATCGCACCTGAAATATAGGGGACTCCACCCCTTCACATAATACATAATAATACACCCCCCCTTCAAAACTCCCCACTCACACAAAATAATACACCCCCCCTTCCAATCCCCCCCTCCTACATAATAATACATT